CTACACTATGCCATGCTGTGCTACACTGTGCCATGCTGTGCTACACTGTGCTATATACAACAAATACTACAGTATACTATGCCATTAGCCAGAATTCAATTCATAGACAAGAAAATCTAAATCATACCATATAGGCGAGAAAGGAAATAACACGTGTCTACTACATCCTCTCCAAGAACAGTTTCAGTGAAGTAGTAGAGAGTAAAGTTGAATTCAGGCCCCTATAGGAGGCCTAAAAAGGCAAAGGGTGAAGTGAGGACAGTCAGAATACACAAATCTTGAAGAATTTGATTTTGAAGAACAAAGAAAGAGGAGATTTTTTTTTTTTGATGCAGGTAAAAGGTTTAAAGAGTGTTTAACTGTTTTCAGAATGGAAGAGATCACAGAATACTTTCTGTCCATATAAATCATTCTGAAGAAAGAGCCCAGAGAGGAAATCAGGGCAGGAGCAAGTCAGTCTCAGACATCTCAGCAGACCACAGGCCCTGATGCAGGCAGACTGGCAGAAACATAGGACATTCTCTTCTATGTTTTCAATGAATTAGGAAGCAAGGCCATTATGAATGCTAAAGGGGAAAAATCAACTGTATTTTCCACTACTGTATTATTTTACTGAGTCAACATGAAGATCAAAGTTCATCCTAACAACTTGAAGTTTCAAACATGTAGCTAATTATCTACCTGCCTTCAAGACGAGTCACCTCTGCCTGCAGGAGCTCCTCGCTGGTGTGGCTGAAGTCCAACTGTGACAGCACATTATCTAGGACTCCTGGGCCTGGAGAAGGGAACTTCCTTTCCACCTGACAGTTCTCCAGCGGCCTGAGGAGGACAGGAAAAGAAGGGAACAGGTCTCTTATTCTGGTAACGAGAACAGTGCAAAGCCAGCCTGCTGTCCCAACTGCACTTGTAATTAAGCTCAGTTTGTCGTCTGCTTTGTGGATAAACAGAAATATATACCAGGAGAACAATCCAGAGTCAGCAACAATTTAATCTTTACTAGGTTTGGCATATTTTTCAAAGGGAAAAACCACATAAAATAGCAAAATCACTTTGTTGAAACTTGACTGCTAACTGATAAATTATAAGAAGGTCAAGTGAGATGTATGACTTATACAAATTTACTTAATTATTTTTTACTATAAACCTAGAAATAACAGATCTATAAAAACAAACCCAGGCTGGGGATATATAGCTTAGCTGGTATAGTACTCCCATGGCATGCATGAAGCCCTGAGACTAGGTGTGGTCACATGTACTGGTAAACCCAGCACTTGAGAAGTAAACACAGGAGGATCAGAAGCTCAACGTCATTCTCAAAGCATTAATTTCGAAGGTAGCCTGGGATACATAAGATCCTGTTTCGAAACATAACAATAATAATACAATAAAATCAGTTTTCAAAAGGGCTAGCTCAGTGACAGGTTGTTACTGACGACAAGCAGCTATGCCCTAGTCTCCTACAGCATGGAGGTTCATCAGCCAATGAGGAAAAAATACGGAGTTCTCAATTTTATGATCCTCAGAATCATAGAGACTCAAATGAAAAGGAGACAAAACTATCCATGGAAATTTTATGATAATGAGAATCTAACTCATAAATTAAAACCAAGTCAGACAAGATGATCAAACACAGAAATGTAAATATTCAATATTAAAATCGGCATTCAATGCCAAGGCTTCAAATGGACTGGCAGAATAATACTTAAGATTCGAACAGACCTCATACTTTCTATGGAGTGCTGAGTGTCAACTGTCTTTAATTTTGTTTGCAGTTTCTCCTTCTGCATTTTTGCCTCAAGGATGAAGTTTTCTTGAGATTGAAGACTCGCCTTCAATCCTTTCTGTTCTTCCTGCAGAGCCTGAAAAAAAGAAAAATAGTCAGACATTATTACAACTTTTCTTCAGCTCTCTCTTTTTCCTGCAGAGTCTGCAAAATACTCCCCCAAAAAGAGTCAGATAACATTACAGCATTTCCATTTCCTGAGCAAAGCAACCAGAGAGGCTGACTAAGTTTTCTGACAAGGGCAGTATTAGTACAGCTGTCAGTGGCTGAGCTATCAGCCTCAGCTCAAGGAGGAAGCTGAGGTTTCTGGAACATAGTTCTAGGTCAACCAGTCTTAAGACACTCATACGCGTTTCCCTAACCTAAGCATTCTAACACACACCTCTAATAACTTTTCAGACTCCCTCAGTTTCTCCTCCTTTTGCCGCTGCTCCTGCAGGATAGTCATATTGGTCCCCATCAGATCATTGACCCTCATATTGAGGCGCTCTATTTCCAGCTCGTTGGCACAAATGGTGTCCTTAGCCCGCTCGAGCTTACTGCTCAGGTGCTGGATTTCTGACTGGCTGGACAGCTCCACAGACTCTAATTTCTGTTTCCGGTTAGCAAGCTGAGCCTAAAAAAATATTAATTTTTTATTATTAGAAATTATTATTAGGGATTTTTAATAGGAAAAGAGAAATGATAAAAGAATAATCAATAAAATAATCAATAACTGTATTCACTGAGGAAAAAGTACTTGTAGGAAGGACTGGTTCAATCAGCGGATTTTGGAGACTTCTGAGCTGACAGTTATAACCAAATATACACAGCTGAAATTAGTTCAGTGGCATCACTATCAAAGTCTACTCAAATGAAAGGATTTCAAGTAACTGTGTCATGGGCCTGTGGTGTACAGTGCCTAGCCTTACAGCTCTGCATGCCAGCTGAGTATTTTGGCTTTCCATGTTCTGGTTTTCTCAAGTTTTAATTCAGTACCTAAACTGGTTTTTTATCTAATAGACATAAATCATTTGTAAAGGTAAATTTCCTTTATTTTAAACATATTTTAAGAAAAAGACACACAATTTTATTTTAGAAATTCAAACAAATATCTCTGTGGAATTCATCTGCTATAGATTTAAAGATTTTACTGTATATAATACAGGATCAAACTCTTGTACTTTATATTATGGTGACACAAAGATGCTGCTGGGAGAGAGAGAGAGAGAAAGAGAGGGAGGGAAGGAGGGAGAGAAGGAGGGAGAGAGGGAGGACAGGCAAAAACACAGACAAACAATGTTTGTGTGAATGAGAGCTCAAGGCTTTAGTGTAGAGGCAACTGTTTTGTCTTTTAACCAGATCCCTAGAATGGTGTGTGTGACAGTCAACCCAGCTTGACTGCTAACTGCTATGTATGCAATTGTCTCCACACTTTCAAAAACAATCTAATCTTCTTACAAAGAGGAAATCTTCCACAGAACCCTCTGCAGAAGTAAATACAAAGATTGGTTGAGGGTAGGAAGGAGAAAAAGTCTGTGGCTCTTTGCTGAGCCTCAGTTCACTCCAACCCTAACCTATCCACCAGCCTGGAGCTCACAGGACACAGCTGGAAACCTCTGCCCAAATGAGAGCTCTGGGGGACAGACAACACAGAAAACTCAACACTGTGACCGCTATGTAACACTGGATAGATCGCTGTGTAACCCTGGGATTGCTATGTAACAACACTGGGATCACTATGTAATAACCCTGGGATTGCTATGTAACACTGGGATCGCTATGTAACAACACTGGGATGCTATGTAACACTGGGATGCTATGTAACCCTGGGATTGCTATGTAACACTGTGATTGCTTACGTAACACTGAGATTGCTATGTAACACTAAGATGGCTATGTAACACTGAAAGCAAATTCAGTTCTGAAGCTTTAGCTGTGTTAAACAACAGTGTAACCAGATTTGTTATTTTAAATTAGCTTCTCAGTTTTGAAAATCAAGTCTTCTTTAATCATCTACTATTTCACTCATGTAAAAAGACAGTGTTCACACTGACTAGAAATGATACCCCAGGCTGAACTGTGCACTATAGCAGTAAGAGACACATGTGAAGACTGATCACTGAGCTGTGGCTACTCTGATTTTAGAAATGTTCTAATTGTAAAACATACAGGGGAGTGCCAATGGCCTGGTTTTAAAAAAGAATGCAAATTCTGAACTGATAATATTTGACATACTGGGTTAAATAAAATATATTAATTTATTTTTACCTTTTAAATCTAACTACAAAAAATGGTAAATTGTGCAACTCACATTATATTCCTGCAGTGGCACTAGCATCAAGAATACCTCTTTCAATATTAAGCAAGTAAGAAAATCACAGAAACAACTAAAATTATCATCACTTCTCCTAAACAGCTGACTTTAGAAGCATTTAAAGGTAAATATATTTGAAATCTTTTCATGTACAAATTACTTCAAGGAAGCAGAAATTTTCCTTACTCGCTAAGCATTCAGCATTGTTTTACTAAACGAAGAGGGGAGCTACTGCAACTCCACAAAAGACAGTGGAAGGAAGGAGGGCACCGAGAGGGTGATTACATCAGGAGACAGAAGGCTCTTCAAATCAACCTGCACTGGTCGGTAGGTAGGCACAGCGGGGTCAGAGGTGCGCACAGGGAGATCAGAGCTTTGCAGCTCTTTAGGCTTCCCACTGGGATGTGATGGCCTGCGTGGACACATCTGGAGGTGACACTGATGGGGAGATAGGTCAGGGGCTGTGCTGCAATGACTAGGCCTTTATACTAGGATTCCCTGGAAAGATCAAAGCCCTGGCTATTCCAACCATGTTGTTCTTAAACAGTTTCCCTATCTGTAACAATGGCTTCCTTGAGTTCCAAAACTACATTTGAAAAAAAAAAGTTATAGAAAGGATGTCCTCATTTTTCTAAAATGAGCATGGAGTATATAATTTTAATAGCTGAGTAGAACTGAAGTAAATACATAACTCAAAGAGCATGAAGTTATTTTTGAATCTCATTTTTAGATATAAAAATATTTAAGAATTTTTTCTCATAAGATTTACCTGGTCTCCCAGATTTTCTGCTTTCCCACATATCAACTAAATGTAATGAGTCAAGCTCAACTGGATTCTGCTTCAAACAGCCAACTGTGGAAGGGTGGTTTTTAGACACTTGGAGAAAACTGCACAGACTGAATATTAACTTATATTGTTATGATGTATCTATTAATGTCATTCTGTCATATTATAGGAATTTTAAGTCCTTGCCTGCTCTAAAATGACATGATTTCATTTGCATTGTAACTTTTGGGTGGCGGCGGTGGGGTGAGACAGGGGATAGGGTTTCTGTGTAGCCTTGGCTATCCTGGAACTTGCTCTGCATACCAGGCTAGCTCAGTCAAACTCACATACATCCACCTGCCTCTGCCTCCCAATGTTGGGACTAAAGTGTGCCACCATGTCTGGCCTGTTTGGTAACATTTTAATAGCCAAAACTAAAGACTAAAAGTGTACCCAGTTTTAGTTTTCCAAGATGGAAAGAATCAGGCTGGATAGGTGGCTCATTAGACAAGAGCATAAGCTGCTCTCCTGGAGGACCTAGGCTCAGTTCCCAAAACCCACACTGGAGCATACAAGGATCTGTAACTCCAGTTCCAAAGAATGCAATGCCCTGCTCTGACTCTGTGGCACTGCACACAGTGGTACACTGCATACGTGCAGGCCAAACACCCATACACATAGATAAAAGAAAATATATTGACTTTTTAAAGCCATATCCAAACAAAGAAGAAAAAAGTTCCAAAGAACAGCTGTACAAAAATGTAGTGTTATTAACACTAATGAACAGCACACAGAAAGCCAGTTTAAATGGCATGGGGTTTAGCTCACTGGTACAGTGCTTGCTTAGCATAAGTGAGGCCATGAGTTCAATACCACACTGAAGAGAAAATCAGGCATAGCCAGGTGGTGGTGGGCACGCAGAGACAGGTGGATCTCTGTGAGTTTGAGGTCAGTCTGGTCTACATAGTGAGTTCCAGGACAGCTAGGACTATACAGTAATACCATGTTCCAAAAAAAAACAAAAAGAAAGAAAGAAAATTAGGTACATTGCTGTAATACATTTCTGACACCCACTCATACACAAGATTGACAAGATGATGACAACTATTAACAGCAGGTAATGGGCACATAGAATTTAATTAAATGTTTAGGAATGATAATCATACAGCATTGATTGACAAACTGAGTCACAAGAAGCTTTAATTCTTGTTTAGTTTGTCAAAGGAGAAAGAGAAGTACATTTATCAGATGACTTTATTTTAAAGAAAACAATGATAAGAATTAAAAAAACTATTATAAGAATTATTCAGACATCCTTAGTGGATACAACAGATGTCAGCTCTTTAAAGGTGTCTTATTCTAGCTCTAGTCAAGTGAATGGTAAACAAAAACTCTATTTTTACTAACAGGGAAGTTTGAATTACATAGAATTAATCACAATAGTAATTTGATAGTGGCTTAAAGGCTATGTAATCAATAAACAACATGAATAAAATGAGGACTGAAAAATTAAAAACTCAATTTGTTCTTTCCCAGTCTAATGCCTATAATTAGAATACAGCAGTATACAGCCTTTAAGAACACAGAGCTTTCTCAATTAGGTTAAAATCTCACCCCATTCCCATGCCCTCCCTCAATGAGGGCTCCACTGTCCCACTTTGGCTGGTAGCTCCTTGAATTTGACAATGCAGTCTTTGTTCTCTGGGGTGCAGGGGTGTCCTGCAAGTCTCAGTGGAGTTCCTCACAGCAAAACCATTCACAGTAGTGTGCCAGACAACTGGTATTTCAGGGGGCCAAAGAAGATGAAGGTTTAAAAGAAAAAACAAACAAACAGGAACATCTCCCTCTAGCTCTCTGAACTTACTGGCATTCTAGAAACTGAGAACTACCAGTGTGGACGGATTGTCATACTACAAATAACACAGCTAACAGACAAGTATCCAACAGGTAACAGGGAGTGACTATACAAACTTACTACCCTCTCTCTGCTTATTTCTTTCTGTCTTCTTGATTTTAAAGGAAAAAGGCAAAGGAACTGGCTATGACCCAAGAAGACATATCCTGGAAAAATTCAGTGTCTACTTAGTTTTTGCTGAAGTCATCAGTTTCTGCAGCCACAAAGACATTATTTTCATTCGCGTGCACACCAGTGCAGTGAGATTCTTTCCAAACAGCCAAAAACTGAGATCTCTGGCTGAGGCACCTTGGCCAAAGTGCTCAAGCTGTCACGGAAAAAAACAAAGCAGATGGAAGTAGAGCCAAAAAAAACCAATGACAGAAGCAGAAAGAAGGGAGACAGAGGAGAGAGGCATGGTGGGATAGGTAGAAACCAAATTCAAGAGAGTGAAGACAGCGTGGAAGAAGGGTGAGGCAGGGAGAGGAGGATCTGAGCTCTAGATGCTGAGCCACAGTAGAGGAAGATGGGCTTGTCATGCAAAGGTTAGCAGAGAGAATCCAGAAAGACAACGACAACCATCAGAAGGTGCATGGCAGTCAATCAAATTCAGTCAAAACCCGTCTGCTGGACAGCTTAATCTTACCTGAATGATCTCCGACTGGTCAGCTAAAGCCTTCCTCTGTGCTTCCAGAGAAGATATCTGTTGCTGATAAATCAAACGCTGCTTCTCCCAGTCCAGAGACTTCTGACGGAACTCCTGAGGAGACAGTTCCGGTACTTAGCCCCTAAGTGCTTCCTGGACTGCAACACTCTCACTTTGCTTCCCCAGCCTCCCACTCCTGGGTCCAGCTCTACCCTTCTCCTCAGCAGGAGCTCCATTACTCACTTAGCTGACTGAGCTGCAGAGGAATAATGATTCTGCTCACACAGTGCCTGTCTTTCTGAACTTAACACCCTAACGGTGAAGAGGAAGAAACAGACCCGAAAGTGGGCTCATGAGCATCTTCACAGATCTGCTGTTATCATTTTGTATAATTTTACAGAAAAGTAATCTGAAATAATAGTATTTCCCTTGCCATCTAAATTCCTGACATCCAAACCGAGAACTGAAGAGATTTGAACAGATTTCCAAATCAGTAACTCAATAGCCCAATTCTAACTTCATATTCTGCTAAACCAGTATTTTTGATAGTCAAAATTTTATTATTACACAGAAGAATTGTAAAAGCTTGAACAATATGGAAAATATGTACCACATTTTAACAGGTATTTATTAATAACCCAGAGCCAAATAGTTAAAAGTTATAGTTGATGAACAGAATTTCAAATTGTACACCATGAAAATGAACTTAACATTTCTGAAAATAAGGCAAATCAAAGGGAAAAGACCCTTAACCTTCCCATCTTTGTCCTTCAGGGATCCTCAGCTTTAGATTGTTCTTTAGACTGTTATGTCAGCTTTCTGACATTCCATTCAGTCAGTCAGTCAGTCAGTCTGTCTGTATGGCATTCCATCATATGTGCCAGCACTGATTTAGAAAATATTTAAAAAAAGAAAAAAAAAAGCCCAGCCACACTCACTGGAGGGTGACACAGACATGGCATACACACTGAATGAATGAGTAAATAACAATATTTAATGAAATCAAACATGACATAGACTTTTGAAGGAATTCAAAGAGGACACAAAGAACCATCGAAATGAAATAAGAAAGTCAATACAGGACATGAAAGAGAAACTCAATAGAGATAGAAATACCGAAAAAAAAGGATCAAACAAATTTTATAAATAAAAAAATCTTACTGAATCAAATAAAAACTTAACAATAAATCAAATCAAAGATAGAGTTTTAGAGTCTGAAGACAAAGTAGATGAATTAGCATGACAATGACAAATATAATAAGAAAGTCAGGGCTGAAGAGATGGCTCAGTGATTGAGAACACTGACTATTCTTCCAGAGGACCTGGTTCAATTCCCAGCACCCACATGGCAGCTTACAACTGTCTGTAACTCCAGTTCCAAGAATCGAACACCCTTACACAGACATGAATGCAGACAAAACACCAGTGTACATAAAACTAAATTAAATATTTTTTTAAGAAAAAGATAATAAGACAGTATGAATACAATGTACAAGATCCACAAGATACCATTACAAGACCAAATGTAGGGGCTGGTAAGATGGCTTAGTATGTAAACAATGCTTGCCATGCAAGCATATATGCCAGTACTCACTAGAAAATGCTGGGCATGGCAGCACACATCTGAAATCCCAGTGCTAAGGCGGTATTAACAGAGGGATCCCTACGCTTACAGGCCAGCCAGTCTAGCTGGATCAGTGAGTGTCAGGTTCAGTGAGAGACTCTGTCTCTAATAGTAAGGTAGAGAGTTAACGGACGTTGACTTCTAGCCGCCACACACACATGCACATACACGCAGGTATGTTCATACACATGTGCACATACATACATAAAGAGCAATCTATAGTTCATTAGCATAGAAGAGTGAGAATATCAGGATAAAGTTGCAGAAAATACACTCACCGCCATGAACTAAAACCCAAGTACAGGAGCAGAGCAATCAAGACATAAAAACATCTAGAATGTCAAGACCAGAAAAGAACCTTTCCACATCATATTACAGTTAAACACTAAACATGCAAAACAGAGAGTACCAAAGCTGCAAGAAAAATGTACAAATACATACACAAAGGTAAAGTCATCAGAATAAAAGATTTTTCAACAATAACTCTAAAAGCCAAGGCAGAGAAAAATGTAATTCAAGCTTTGAAAGACAATATTGCCAACCTAGATTATTGTAACCACTGCAACCATTGTTCTAGTTGGTTTTTATTAATTTGACACAAACTAGACATATGGGAAGAGGGAATCTCAACTGAGGAGTACCTCCATCAGATTGGCATGTCTTCGGGGCACTTTCTTGATTAGCGACTATGGTAGGAGCTGCCATCCTTGGGCAGATGGGTCTGGGCTGTGTAAGAAAAGCACTTGAGTAAGTTGAGGAAGCAAATCAGAAGACAGCATTCCTCCATTGTCTCTGCTTCAGTTCCTGCCTGAAGTTTTTGCATTGTTTGAACTCCTGCCCTGGCTTCCCTTGGTGACAGACGATAAGCTATAAACTGAATTAACTCTTGTCTCCCAAGTTGGTTTTGGCCATAGTGTTTCAGCACAACAACAGAATATTACCAACACACTGAACTGAAGGAGAAAGAAAAATTTTCCTTGATAAACACAAACTAAAGGAATTCTTGACCTTGTAGTAATACTGGAGTAATCTGCATACTGATGAGAAAGATAAACATCCATGATGCAAAAGGAAAGAACAAACTTCAATGGACAAATGAGAATTAAGAAGACACCAGACACTACAAAAAAAGATGACAGAAATGAACAATAACTTTCAACTAGTATCTCTGAATAGCAATGGTTTCAATTCTCTAAGACACAGACTAGAGCTAGGGAGCTGGCTCAGTGGGTAAGAGTGCTTACCGAGAAAGCAACAGTCCCTGAGTTCAAATCCCCAGGACCCACATAAAAACTTGACCATGGCTGTGTGTGCCTGTAATTCCAGTGTTTGGAGGGGGACACAATAGGATCCCAGGAGCTTGCTTGGTCAGCCGCCCTAACCAAAATGGCAAGGTTTAGGTTTACTAAAAAACCCTGACTCAAAACATAAACTTGAAATTGGCAGAGGAAGACACACAATTTCTCCCTCTGGCCTCCACATGTGCTCATATGGACACACAAAGGCATGTGTACATACAACTCTATACAACTATCTCTCTCTCTCTCTCTCCCTCCACAGACTAGTTAATTGGATTAAAAAATAGGATCCATCTATTTGTTGCCTGCAAGAAACACATCAACTGGAAAACATAAACACTGCCTTAGAGAGAAAGGATAGATCATTCACTATGATCAAGTATGCACCATTACAAGGATACAAGGATGATTCAACATATACAAACATAATGCATCATATTAACAAACACAAGAACAAAAATCACATGACCCTCTTAATTGATGCAGAAAATATTGGATATTGACATAATCCAATAGCCCTTCCTTATAAATGCCTTGAAAAAATTAACAGTAAAGAACAATATCACAACATAATAAAGGACATATATAGCAAGCCTATAGTCAACATATTAAATAGGGAGAAGCCCAAACACTGCCACTAAAATGAAGAATGAGAGGCAAAGACATACATTTTCTCCATTGTTATTCAACAGTCTTTGGAGTTTTAGAGCAAAAAGCTAAAGGAAGAAAAGACATACAAATAAAGGAAGAAGTCACACAACTCTTTCTTTGGACACAATGATTCCGTACATGAAACTCTACTCCCACTACCAGACAGCTTCCAGAACTGATAAACACCTTCAGAAAAGGAGCAAAATATAAAGTCCACACACAAAACTCAGTAGCTTTTCAATAGCCAATACCAGACACCCTGACAAAGAGCTCAAAAGGGTAATCTCGTTCACAACAGCTTTAAAATACTACAAAATTAAATAAATACACATATGCACACACATACATATACCATGAGATAACACAACCAAGACAATAATCAATCTTTTCAATGACATCTTTAAAACATTAAAGAAGGAAATGGAAGAAAACACCGGAGAATGGAAAGGTCTGCCATACTCATGGACTGGCAGAAACATGGAAATGGCTAAATATTGAAAGCATCTCATAAAGAGAACTGAGGAGAACAGAATAGATACAGAAGAAAGGATGCTAAGAAACTCCAAAGGCAGAGTGTGATACATACTATGTCTGTGGATGAAACCCTCAAACGTTAAGATGAGAGCAATGTTGAAGAGGATAATAATGAGCTGGAAATGGACTCCCAGAGTCAGTGCAGTAACCTGGGCCAGAGGACAAGGGCAGGGAGAAAAGGTAGCAGTGAAGACGGCTGGAGGGGAAGTAGTATTTGTATGGTACTCTGCGTCCAAGTTCTAAATCTATAAAAATAGTAAAGTATAAAAGAACACTAAACATGAGAATTACAGTTCCAGACAGTAAAGTATACTGGCATTTGTGTGTGACAGATGACCCAGAATAGAAAATGTTTAAGTAGTCACACAGAGGTGCTGGCCGGTGTCTCTCAAATAGGGTAAAGTGTGGATTCCTAGATCCTATGCTTACTCTAATCAGACTCTCTGAGGTCGCAAAGCACCCTGGTGACTGTTAAATGCACTGCAGAACTCATACAGAGAGGGAACTCACTGCCTCCTGTCAGTAATCATGGAGTTACAGAGAAAATACAAAATCAGCAGAGGGAGACGAACCCTTTGTAACTCCGGTTCCATCTAAATGGGAGCTGAAACTAAACCACCTGATGAGCAGAGTACTCTCTGCAAGAAAATGCCAAGAATTCCCCACATTTGCTAACACCTACTCAGTTAGGTGTGGAGCCACGGTGATAAACAGGATGCTGCTACTAACTGATGGTCACTGTTCTTAGAATGGAAGGTACTGAATACTAGGATCTTCTCCAGGATACAGTCCCAAGCATGTTGGCTACTCCTTCTCCCTGTACCCTAAATGCCAATTTCATGCTCCATCATCTTAACAACAACAACAAAAAACAAACAAAACTTCCATACATTTCCAATGGCCCTGTAGGGTAGAACAACCCTCTTGAGAATTACTGATGGCCTAGAACCCTATCAGCCACAGGGGAGCAAGTGATGATGGGCTGGCTGTACTACTGAGTAGCTCAGAGGCAGCCCTCGAGATGGCAGGAACTCGTTTCATAGGAAATAGCATTTCCTACACAAAGGCTGACGGTCGCGACTGAGACTACTGCTGTGAACATACCTCTATTTTTCCAGTTAGCCTCTCAATCTCAGACCGATCCTCCCGCAGACTTTTGGTATTTCCTCTGAATTCTCTTAGTTGCTTTTTCTGCAGCTTTTCATAGCTTCTCTTCAGTCTGCCTAACTGTAAAAACAGTTATTTATTTACTTAAATTTTCAGAGCTAGTAAATTGTGGTGGTCAGACAAACTGGGATTATAAAGCAAAAGTGGTACTAAATTATCTTATTGAAAATAGATTGGCAACATGCTAGAGTTGCAAAGAAAAAGAAAAAAAAGAAAAAGAAAAAATAAAACTTAAAAATTCTAGGGCTGGCATAAAGCTCTGCTGGTGAGTGCTGACCTAGTCAGCACTGGGTCTGGGCTGGATCCCCAGGACCACATAAACTGGGTATGGTAGCAAATGAGGTAATCACACAGTTAAGTGGAGGCTGGAAAAAAAAATCAGAAGATCAAGGTCATGAAAAATCTGAGGTCAGCCTGAGATACCTTATCTCAAAGTATATGCCTGCTTGCATGTGCATGTGTGAGAAATAAATGCTAGCAGTGAAATTTCCAGGCCGAAAAAAGAAAACAAAAAGTCTGGTTCTACTACAATTGCAATGCATTCATAGACACCCATGACCCACTTGACATAAGAGAGGAAGCAGTAACTGTTCCCCTTTAGGTGAGTGGGTCTCAAGACATACTTCTAAGGGTATTAATGCCCAGTAAACAGACTTTGACTTCAACCAAAACAAAGGCAATTTTCCCCATAGTTAAAAGGTAAATTAAATACTGAAATAAAGTTTTCTTCACTTTAAAGATTTTATTTTTAATTTCTAATTATGTGTGTTCTAATTATGTCTCTATGTTGGTATGTGCATGCAAGTACAGATGCCCACAGAGACCAGAAGAGGGCATCAGATCCCTCAAGCTGGAGGGATGGGTGGTTGTGAGCTTCCTAATGTGGGTTCTGGGAACTGAACTGGGGTGCTCTGCAAGGGCACTACACTACCAACTGCCAACTGTTGAGCTAGCTCTTGCTTCCCAATCTTCTTCCTTTTAAAAAAAAAAAAAAAGCTTTTAAAAATATTTCTTTATTTGTGGGAGGTGGAGTGTTGGGGAGGGAAGAGTGTGCACTCTACAGCCCACTACGGGAGGTAAAGGGACAGCTTGCAGGCCTCGGCCCAATGAGTCATCGCGCAGCCCTTGCTTTTCTTAATCCCAAAATATTTCTAAGCCTTTTGTCTCTTTCAATATTTAAAAATCAGCTATTGAATTAACTTACAACTTAAAATATTAAGTTTCTGGTAACAAGATTTTAATATTATACAAATATAGCTCTTTTTCCTTTAGGTCTCAGTCAATTGCTGGTTTAGGTAATAGCAAGTGTATTAGACAAGATTCTTTGTCGAGATTCAAGGTCAGAAAATATATTTCTACCACATACTTCCCACAGGGTATCAAGTACGATATGTACTTCCTACCATATAAAGTAGTAACCAGCTCTCAACAGCAGTCAAGGTTACAGAGAAAGGACAACTACACATCACGTCACAGAACTAAAGCAGTCAAGGTTACAGAGAAAGGACAACTACACATCACGTCACAGAACTATAGCCTCACTTCCTCCTGCAGTTTCTTTAATTCCTGCTTATACTCCATGGCCATTTCTTGCTTGATTTTTTCATGTTCTTCTATCTGCTGATGCAACATTCCAATCTAAAAGCAGAAAGGGGTAGTACAATTCAGTATTAGCATTGAAATAACATCCCTGCAACACAAAAACAGAAACCAATCCTTGCACTTCCTTGCAAACTAACATTCTCAATGTTTCTACATGGTTAGCCTTAAAATATGAATAATGCTTTTATAAATTTATATAATTATAAATTAAGATTTATTTATTTATTATGTACTCAATTTTCTGTCTGTATACCAGAAGAGGGCACCAGATCTCATTACAGGTGGTTGTGAGCCACCATGTGGTTGCTGGGAATTGAACTCAGGACCTCTGGAAGAGCAGCCAGTGCTCTTAACCTCTGAGCCACCTCTCCAGTCCTTCTTTTACAAATTTAAAGTTAGTTCAAGACTCACACTCCTTGTCTGATTTATTTTCCCAATTCTCTTTGTTAAAATAAATAAATTCTTATAAAAATAGCATATATAAGTTTAAATGTTTTGATAACCAAAAATATTTCACTTTTAGAAACGTGTAAAACTTTCTACAAGTAAAGCACAGTTCAGTAACATCAGAGACAGACTGAAAGACAATGAGTAGCTACTACTTACTTCATAATTTCCCTGATTATCAGAGTAAGGAAGGGGTCCTAACCCGTTCTGCAATGACTGGGTACCAGTGACAACAATTTCATAGCTCGTCTGGTCAGCTAGGCTAGGGACCCTCCTGTCTCTGTCCCTCCAGTGCTCATTATAAACATGAGAAGTCATACCTGCAGTTGACATGCTGCTGGGGATTGAACTCAGGTTCTCATGCTTGTGTGGCAAACAATTTACCCACTTACTGAGCCACCGTCCCAGCTTTTTCTGATTTCTTAAAATGGTTATTTAAATGACTGATTTTCAGTCTTCCTATTGTAACAAACCTGGAGATATAGATAGGTAAAACTCTCTTTAGGTACCATGTGAAAAGCATGCTGTGTTGTTTTTCAGTTTATTTTGGTTCTATGCTGAGGACTGATCTTAGGGCCTCTGCATAGACAAGCACACGCTCTGCCACTGTCCATTCATCTGTTCCTATAAATACTGATCCACAGGGGACGAAACCCAGGCCTTTATACGTGTAAGTACACACTCTGCAATTGTCTATTCATCCAACCCTACAAATGTGACCCATAGGAAGGTCATTATCATTATCAAAGTATATTCTAATTTTTACTGTGATTTCTTCGTGACTTAAAGGTATTTGGGAAGCTGAAGAGCTGGCTCAGCAATTAAGAGCACTGACTGCTCCTAGAGAGGACCATAATTCAGGTCCCATCATCCATATGGTGGCTCACAATCATCTGTAACCCCAGTCACAGGGGATCCAATGCTCTCTTCTGACCTCCATGGGTACCACGCATGCATGTGGTGAACATAGATATATTATAAATAAAATGAACAAATCTAAAAATAAGGGTCATTTAAAACTGTTTTGCTTTTCCAAGTACTTGAAAGGTCTTTTTAGAAGTATATTGCTTAATTTCTAAGTACTTGGAAAGTTGTCTTCTACTGTATTGAGTTTTAGCTTAAAACTATTTTGTTACAAAAACACAATTTAATCTGCTGTAGTTGCCCAATAAAATGCTTTAGTCACATTAAAAGAACATGTTTAAAATTAATTAGGTCAAGTTTATTTTGATCAATCCTCCACCTTAACTGCCTTTCCATGTGCTTGTTCTATCACTAGCAAGAGGGCTGTGTTAAGGCTTCTACAGTTTCCACGAATACAGTTTCTCCCTAAATCCTGTGTTTGCTTTGTACATTTTAAGACTGTTATTAACTACTTACAGTTGGATTATTAGAGTTACCGAGTAGAAGTCAGAGGACAACCTGAGGGAATTAGTCCTCTCCCTCTACTCTGTGGGTACCAGGTACTGAACTCAGATCTTTAGGCTTAGCAGCAAGCATCCTTATCTGCTGAGGCATCCTGCTAGCCCAGGTTCCATTTTCTTTTGAACATCTTCTCATGCCACGATATTTCCAAATTCTTACTTTCAAATTTTGGTGTATATTCTTAAATTTTCCTTCCTCTAAATTCTTTGGATTTAACAAGCTTTCTTCTAACCTCTGAAATAAATCACTACCTATAGATTTTCAACTTATCTTCTTCTGATATACTCAATTGCCCTCTTAGACACTACTGCACCCTTCAACTTTGATTATAGTCCTATCTACTACTTTTCATTTCTATTATGACTTCTCTGAGTCACTCAGAACCTTACTTCTTAACTTCCAAATGCACATATTTTTCAGAGTTATCTTTTTCTAATTTATTTCTGCTATGTTAAGAGTTTATCTATGATTTCAAGCCTTTGTTTATGGCAAAATTCACTCCACAGCCCAGGATAGAGTCGACTTTGGTAATCATTCCATTTGTGCTGGAAAAGAAATGCACATTCTGCAGTTCCCTTGTGTCATGGTCTATAGTTATAAACTAGGTCAGGTTTGCTGATCACGCTGTTCAAATCTGTATCTTTATGAATGTCCTCCATCAGTTACTAAGAAAAATGTGTTAAAACTCTGAAGCATGACTGTGGCTTCATTATTCCTACTGACAGTCCTGGTACTTTTTGCATACATCTAAGAACGGTTAAAACTATCTTACTATATTATTTTGTCCTATTTTGAGTTTTCCTAAAAGTGCAATCTGAGATGTGGACTTCTGAACAGCTAACTGGAGTGACCTTGGAAAGCACAGTGAGATGACAGGAAGGAAGGGCCATACTGGGTCTATTCCTGGGCAGAAGACCACAGTAAGCAGCTGGAGCTGTGTTCCTGGGAACCTACTAAGGAAGCAAACAGATGTGTTTCAGAACTGTCTCTATGAGCAATGGGAGCCTGCTGACCTTACTCAACCTCACCCTGCTGAGGTTTGTCCTGGGAAAGTTAGCTACCCCACAGTTGTAGATTTAGAGTGAGCAGCTTTCCGAGGTCCTGAGAGGAGCAAGTACAGTGGAGTTCTGGTGACACAGAAAGCCATATTTCATGGCTAAGAATGAAATGAGAGGGAAGGAATGTGGTCCAAAATGAAACAGTGTTGGTGACAACCGCACGTCCTGAAACTGACGCCCTCCAGACGGAGCACTGCTATCCCCTTTAGTCACTCTGCGATTCCAAGTCAAGCTTGCTTTCTCTAGTATGAACATAGTCACATCATCTTTCTCTTCAAGTCTGGGTGGCAGGTATTTTTATTTTGCCATTTACTTTCAACCTTCATGTGCTTTTACAATCATTAAATAACTGTGGTTCATTATTTTCACTTCGTTAGCTAATTTTTGTCTTTTAATTGAGTCAGTGACTGCATTTACAACTAATGAACTTACTTGAATTTAAATTACTGTTTTATGTGCTATGTATACTTAATAAGGGCTGCACCTTTTTTCCTTACTGCTTGCCCTCTTTGGACTGACTCCGTTCTCATCATTCTACGATCTCCTTTTATTAACCTGGATAATATTCTCAATTAGTATAAACTTTAAGGTTCCCTCAGCCTAACACAGAGATCACTGACATAACAAGACTAATGTTAGTTGGTTGCATTTCCAATTCCCTGGTAATCCTGAGATTAAAAATGTAATTTAATCCCATTTATCACCAAATTGACTTCACTATGCACAATACTGAATGTATGATAAGCTGCTGCATCTTGCTTTGATTTTATTCCTGGAGCTCTGGTCATCCATCTGAAGGATATTCTTTTCTAATTGTTTGTTTCATCCATTGTGTGCATGTGCTCATGCATGCCATGTGCATGTGTGGAGATCAGTGGACAGCTTACAGAAGTCAGCAAGCACCTTACCACTGAGCTATATCCCCAACTCTTAGGGGTCACTTTTAAGTATCACTTATTTCTTTCAAAGTAGTCTCAGTCTTCACAGCAATACTGGTATAGGGGTCCCCACTTTGTACATGATGGAGCAGGCTGAAGCTACTTGTGCAAAAACATTCAGCTGAAAAACACAGAAAGAGGGCTCGAAACTCTCACTGTTCCACTAGGTCAACTTGGAGTTAAGGACAACAGTGGCAGACACTCCATCAAAATCAACCTGATCTCAACTCTCTGAAGTGTTTAGAAACAAATCAGCTAGCAAAGCCTTACACTGGTGCATGGTTGGCAAGCTGCTGGTGCTGGCCAAAAACAGCAGCCCACCATGAGATAAGGGCCTACAACAGGTGTAAA